CTCACTTGGCTCAAACGAATTAAGGTAAAATGTATCTGTGTGTTTCCTCTTGTTTCAGCCCTCACTGGATGTACAATAAATATATTTTGGGGGATAGAAGTGTTTTGTTTTAAGGGTGAGCTGTTAGAGCTGGTCAACACTATAATCACATCATCTTGTTTATGAACACATCCCTCCACCATGATCGTAAACATCTCTGTCAAGGATAAATTAACCTCACCTCTACCAAGCAAGCAGACTGAGCATGGCCTACGTTGCCCACTCTCGATTATTTATTAATTACGAAAAAAATACACAATGGCTGTTTTTAGTGAGAATATATATAATACTTATTAAAAATGGTTATATTCAATTAGGTACAGCAATGCGACCTGAATACTGTATATCCTGTGCCAAGAACTAATTGAATTCAGCCACTTTTTGCAATATTCGTTATCCTTATTTCAAAACACTTTACTACATTTTCTGGCTTTTTATTTTCACTTTTATTGCAAAATCTTGATTTGATAATATAGCTCGTACATCCACATACGCTATTATCAATAAAATGTACCTTAAGTGAAAATAAACTGTTGGATGAAGCGAGTTTTAGTTACATTCTCTAGATCGCTTTACTTTAATTTTCTTTACTTTACCTTGACTTTACGTATCGCTTAGCAGACAATATTATTCCATTATGTGTATAGCAGAAGATAAAGTGAATATAACAATCATATCAAACAACAACTTCTCTTACTATCAACGTCTACTTACCTTAATGAATAAATGGAGAAATATAGGTTAGTTATTTATAGCGCTGTAAACTGAATATTAACCCTTTAGATCACATGAAGATTCGCCTCCCTTAACTTACTGTATTTCACTTGATTAAACACCCTACCGCTATCTAGGGGTTAGATTAGGTTAGGAAATTTAAGTAAGGTTAAATTAGGATGGGTAATCTTGAGGTGAAATACTGTAAGCTGGGGACTAATCTTCAGGTTTGGTATGGTTAGGTTAAGTACAGTAAAGTTAAGTTGGGTTAACGTTAATTATAAAGGGAAAATAAGCTTCGGGTAATCCAACTCTTTTGGTTTATATGGAAAATGTTAAATTCACCTTAAATTACAGAAAAAAGTTTGTTCTTCCGGTGAGTTCGCGCCTCGTATAAATGAGATTTAGGCGAGATTCAATTTGGAGGAATACATTTGATCATGACGTTACCTACATTTCTTGTGGTGGAAAACAGTGTAAATTAAGAGATAAAATGTGACCTGTATCATGAAGATCACCTGAAAATTAACATCCCAGATTATTTCTCCTGATAACTTAACACACCCTAACGCTACCGAGTGTTAGATTACGTTAGGTTAGGTTAGGTCACGTCAAGTTAGGTTAGGTTATGGGGTGGTGCTGTGTAGGGGGTGGTGCTGTTTAGGGGGTGGTGCTGTTTAGGGGGTGGTGCTGTTTAGGGGGTGGTGCTGTTTAGGGGGTGGTGCTGTTTAGGGGGTGGTGCTGTTTAGTTCTGTTTAGGGGTGGTGCTGTTTAGGGTGTTAGGAGGTGGTGCTGTTTAGGGTGGTGCTGTTTAGGGGTGGTGTGTAGGGGTGGTGTGTATAGGGGTGGTGTTGTGTACTGTGTAGGGTGGTGCTGTGTGTAGGGGTGGTGCTGTGTGTAGGGGTGGTGTGTGTAGGGATGGTGGTGTGTGTGTAGGGGTGGTGTGTGTGTGGTGTAGTGGTGTGTGTATGCTGTAGGGGTGGTGCTATGTGTGGGGTGGTGCTGTGTGGGGTGGTGCTGTGTGTAGGGGTGGTGCTGGTGCTGTGTGTGGTGGTGCTGTGTGTAGGGGTGGTGCTAGGTGTATGGGGGTGGTGCTATGTGGGTGGTGGTGTGTGTGGGGGTGGTGCTATGTGCAGGGGTGGTGCTGTAGGGGTGGTGCTGTGTGTAGGGGTGGTGCTGTGTGTGGGGGTGGTGCTGTGTAGGGGTGGTGCTGTGTGTGGGGGTGGTATTGTGTGTGGGGGTGGTGCTATGTAGGGGTGGTGCTGTGTGTAGGGGTGGTGCTGTGTGTAGGGGTGGTGCTATGTGTAGGGGTGGTGCTGTGTAGGGGTGGTGCTGTGTGTAGGGGTGGTGCTGTGTGTAGGGGATGGTTTCGTGTGTAGGGGGGCGGTGGTGTGTGTAGCAGGTGGTAAAGCAGACTCCCAGACGTGATCTACCAGGCGTGTCAAGTCTGATGGACGAATGATTTTATTTTCAGGTAAGTTAATCTTCACGGACGGGTTCCTCTGTGATAAACAAACTTATAAGATGTTTTACTACATTCATGTTTATTCCGGGACCGTCAACCTCACCTAATAAAATTGTACTTGTTTGTTGTCATTTAATTTTTTATTAGTTCTACATGTTATCCGTGTTACTAAGTAGATATTTGGGAACACATAAAGATTAGCCCCCTAGCCCTCCTACCATACACAACACCCTCCCAGAATATCATCAGCCCGGAGGCCTTGGGAAAGAGATATATTTTTAGTGGTAGGCTAAAGAGCAATGTCTAATGGTCTCAATCTCCAGACAGCCAGATCTCGCTGGTCACACAGAAATTGGCACCAAATGAATGAGACAACTGCAATTGAATGCCTTATTGGACAGTTCACCAGTCGGCGAGATTGAAAAGCTGTCGACTTACCACGTTCACAAGGTAATGCGGTTGGTTTAGGCCTGCAATTTATCTGTCAGAGAATTTAAAGTTTATGTTTATGATACTTCTCTACTTCATGAAATTTATTTTGCCATAAACATGCTTTACCTCTAAACTGTTGTTAATAGGAGATAATGCACCATACAAGATGGATCATGTAGAAAATAATGTTTCTATTAATATTTTTTATAACTTCTATACAGTGTCTCAAACTGTTTCAATGCAATTTGATAGATAGGATAGAAATTTAACATCAGTATAACACAACACTAATGTAAGATATTTACTATTTAGAAATTTTAACCTATATTTCTGGACAATCAGTAAACTGCTTCTCACCCTTGATCAAAATGGAGCAGGTGCGACGGGAAGGAGGGATTCCTTCAGTTCCTTTACCTAAAAGTTAAAATTACGGGAAATAGGTCTGATGTGATCCAACAAGAGGATTTCATCCATAAGTAAAATATAAGGATTATTGTGGTTCCCGAGGTCTGATCCCAGCTTCCATTATAAATATAGACCGACATTTGTCGGTAATGGATGTAAGGTCCTCCATCACGTCAGAAGTACGGGTACTCATCGCCTTATAACCTTATATGGAGGTCCCCACCCTCTATCGTATCTAGCATGTGTACAGATAATATGCCCGTAGACCCTAACCCTCAAGATAATAAACAGCAAAAAGGAGGCTTTCTTCACATTTTTTCTAAAATTTCCTCTCCCCTTCATCCACTGACCACTATTTGGTCCGTTACAAGCGGGGTGCCACAGGGCAGTATATTGGGCCTGCTGTTGTGTTTGCTTCATAAATGACATGCCAGAAGCTGTACATTCCTCCATACAAATGTTTGCGCCTTTGTAGACGATGCCAAGTTATTTAGGGAAATTAAGAACCAAGCAGACTGTGAAGAGCTGCAGAAAGAGCTCTGTGAGCTTCAAGAATGGTCGAAAAAATGGCTGCTAAGATTCAATGTCACTAAGTACAAGAGGATGCAACTGGGATGTACCAATGGTAAGGGGGGCGTATCATATGTTCCAACGGGACGAAGAAACTGCATTAGTCAAGACTGAATGGGAAAAGGTTCTAGGTGTGCATGTTGACAATGAACTGAAGTTCTCGGGCCATCGTGAGAAGCAGGTGAACCAAGCAACTAAATTATTAGGTCTTATAAGAAGGTCGCTCAGATATCTAGACAGTCCGTCCCTCCTAGCGATCTTCAAGAGCGAGGTGCTTCCCCGCCTGGAGTAGTGTCACCCCGTCTGGTCCCCGATATATGCCAGGGACTGTCAGTTGATTGAAAATGTCCAAAGATGGACCACCAGACTGGTACTGGCACTTTGGCACCTCAGCTACCCAAAGAGATTAGAGCACCTGCAATTCTGTTTTCTTATCTTTTTACGGGGATTAGCCTACCTGGGCATAAGTCACTGACCCACATCAGGGCCTGGGGGCAAAAATATAATAATAATAAAAATAAATAGAAATTATAACAAAAAAAAATAATAATACTCATAAATAAATGCAAAAAATAAAAAATAAATCAAGTGAGAAACGATATACTGTTGCAGAAGTCCAGGGTTTGATTCCCGACTCGTGAGGTATTGTTTGTACGTACAGTATATGGAAGTTCGCGTGTTATGTGGACTGATATATATATATATATATACTCCCCGACTTACGAAGGAGTTAGGGACCGACATCCAGGTCGTAAGTCGAAATGGTCGTAAGTCGGAAATGCTTAAATAACACATAGAAAATCGAAAATGGGGGTCTCTTTTTCTTCTCAGCACCACAAAACACTCACTTTTGAGCTTGCCAGCCATTTTAAAGTGAATTACAGATGAAAATTTTGTCTGTGTAGTGACTTTGGGACTTGAAAATACGTAATTTGACCAAATTTTGGTATTACTGAGGCAGGTCGTAAGTGCGGGTGGACATAAGTCGAGTAGGTTGTAAGTCGGGGAGTACCTGCATATATAGCTCGTTTTAAGAATGCATAATCCAAGAGTATATGTAAAAAGTATGTAAGTGGTAACATTTTCCTAAATACTCCCTGCTATGGTGTTTTTTATGTAATTTTTCGTTTTTATACATTTAGTACATTCGCCATAAGCTGAAGTAGGTTTAACTGTATCATGTGTCTGAGTTGTCTCTGTAAGATATAGAAACATTGATGTCGAAGTTTATTTAGCCAGAAAAATACAAATACGGAGTCAAAAAATAAAAATAATGCCTTCCACTAAATCGCCAGTTCGTTATATCAGATTCTGTTAAATTGAGGGTATATAGTACCCTGTACATCTATAATGGGTAGGGAAAGTAAAGATAAAAGTGTTTCAGTTCTTTATTGTGAAACTGCTGATTTTCCCAATAAGGTGGGGGGGGGGTTATGTTCCTGACTAGGAATTTTGGAGGTACTGTACTATAGTACTTTAATAATTTTAGTTACAGAATGATTCATAAAATGAAAAAAAAAATTTAAATATATAATAACTACAATATATAATCAATAATTAAACATGAAAACCATACAATTATACATGAAAAACAATATAAAATATAATTTTATGGAATATGCATACTTTCTCAGTACAGGTATTTTGTCATCTGACCACCTCTCATCACTCGGCAACAACTACCCTCCACCACCATCTACAGTATATCCAGTTTTTACTATACGTACTGTACTGTATGTATGACTATAAAACAATAAACATGTAAATACGTACAGTATAAGAATGCATAAATTTTTAATTATTTAAGCTGTGACGAGTGATTTAATGAGGTGTGTGGCTCTCCCAGCAAGACGATACATATCTAGATGGCTCTTGTGTGTGATTTTAATTTTCTTTTGAGAATATTGTGAAAAAAAAGTTATAATTTTGGTTATAAAATATAAATTGCAAATGACTGAAACTACCATATGCAAATTTGCAATATATAAGGACTACTGTACCTGCAGAGTAGTTTCCCACAAGTCGAAAAAAAATTTATAAAGGGGAAAAATGGATTTTTATAACAAAACTATTAAAACCTCCAAAAAATTTAAACCACTCATTGTGATCATGCATATGATCTTATAACAATTAATTACCAGTGACCCTCACTTTATGTGGGGGTTTTGTATTCCAATCAAAATTTGGCCAACATTACATCATAACAAATACAATGAAAAATCCCCTTAATAAAATAAAATATTTACTATAGGTACTGTACCTGATATATTATAAAGTATAAAAAAAATATATATCCCTGTATATATATATACTCACCATCACCAGAGATGAAACCACTTGAAATCTACAACTTTCTTTTGGTTCTGGTCATGATTATACATTCTGAGCATCTCCATTTTATCTAGCTTTGGCCTCAATATTCTTATCTTTGACAAAAGGGATGTTGATTGCACCAAGTTCCTTATTGTTAGCATTCTTCTTAAACCCTTCACTATGGTGATGCCACTTTTAATATTTTATTTGGCTAACACCAAACGATTTATTCAGCTCGGAGAAGACCTTGTACACAGGTGGTTAATACCACGTATTGTGCTCTCCCCAAGACCAAACAATACACCATCGCCTGCTTCATCTTGTCTCAATACCTGTTTTTCTAACTTATATTTCTGATAATAAAGCCTTCCCCTGTTGTTTTATCAATGGATAAAATGGAGGGGTTAGGTGAAAAATGCAACAGTGAAAGAGGGAGTACACAAGCTGAAGCCAAGTCCTTTTACTTACAAGGCAAACATTTTTAACATAAAAGCTTGCATCAGCTGCCCATGCTCACATTAATTTCACAGGAACTTTTTTTACTATTTCTGAAGAGCCTCTTCTCTTATTACCAAGTTGATTAAAAAAAAAAGAAGATAATTTTACAAAACTCATTGTGAATCTTACCTAAAGACAACTAACTATATTTTCCATACATTATCACTTTCTTCTGTAAGTTATAAGAATGAACTAATAAATATCCTGTAAAATGAAATTCATCAGTAAATTTGAGGTGAACTCAATTTTCACTTTAACCAAAATAGTGATGCAGATCCCTTACTACGCATTAAATGATTTTATTGTTCACTACACTCTACCATTCTTCCTCAACTCCTCTTTTTGCCATATCAAAATAAAAAATTTCCTCAACTCCTGAGAGGTGTTCATCAGGTTTGACATTTTATAAGCAAATTGGTTATTCTGTTGTTACTGTACAGCAAACCCTTATTTAACAATTTCAGATGTCACCGTTTTAATACGTGGCTCATTTCAGACTTTCAGGCTATTGGATTTTGTTTTGAAAAAGCTGGAAGTCTTAAATACTTAGGTGATCCATGTGAGGCCGTTTGTCCATTCATTATTCTTTCTTTATTTGTGGTTTTATGACACTTTATAAGTGCTCTAGTATTGCCTTCTGGTGATGGTTGTGTGTGGTTCTAGCAGGAAGCATCTCAGCATCTCAGAGAAGCTGAAAATAATAGACGTAGTTGAAAATAGAATAAATATGAAAACCTTGACAGGAATATGGGGAAAAAATTATTACAGCATTAAAAACAAGGTGAAACTCTGGAAATTTCAAAGTGATGTTCCCTCTTCAAGGAAGTATGTGCAACTGGTAAAGCATGCACAATTGGTGAGTGAAATGTGCTAAAATCAACATGAGATGGCTGAGGGTGTCTAGTGTGTGTGATGGGGGACTTATAGGACTGCTTGATCAATCATTTTGGCAAAATAGGTATTTAGTGCAGGGACTTCTAATTGTACAGAACAGGGTATTGACTGGTTACTTGAGCATGGATCAGCAGTGAAATTGTGACATTAGCAGTCATAGGTCAAATTCTCACAACTGTGGCTGTGGATAGTGTGTGTGAGGGGGGGGGGGGTTTACCTTTCTGGACTAGCCTTCCAGTCAAATCTAAAATTGCAAGGTTTACTGTAAACATAATATTTATAGTGAAGTATACTGTATTCACATCTTTGGTATCAAAAGTCCTAGTATTCCTTTCCATGAATGAAGTATATATGCTATGTATCCTAAACAGTCATTGCTCATTACATTATCATAATTTATACTATAACCATTCATAAAACCTATTTTCTAACATTGGTTGACATTGACTTCAGACCTCCACTGTATCTTCCTTCCTATCATAGTACAGTGGGGTATGCTAAAACGAATCGAATTGGTTCTAGAACCTTGTTCGTTATAGCATTCGTTCGTTATAGGATTAATCCGTTCCAGGCCCCCAAATACAACCACTTAACACTGAAAAATATAATATAAAATTGTAAAAATTGTAAAAAGAACTGCATAAATATGCATCTAAACCCCTGAAATAAAGAATATCATTAATACTTGTATAATAAAGAAACAATAAATTAGTAAAAAAAAAAATAATGTTCGTTGTTGGAGTTTCGTTCATTATAGCATTCTCAATTTTATAGGTAAAACCATTCGTTATAGGAATATTCGTAGTAGAATCCATTCGTTATAGCATACCCCACTGTACTATTCTTTTGTTCATAATCATTTTGAAAAGATGTGTAAAACCAACAGGGATACCAATGTTCACATACAGAAAACACTAGATACTGTATCTTCCTAGAAAATAGAGCACTATAAGGAACAGCTCTAGGAAAGTTAATTATAACATGGTTCCACTGAAGATGCATTCATGGCAGCATTATTTTTTACATATGAGCAATATATGAGGGTTTCACTGGATACCAGTACAGGTAATTGCACTAATAATAATATTGTAACATTTTTTAATAAAAAGAAAAGTTTTTAATAAAAATAATGGAAATGTAAAGATACTTTAAGTTAAAGTACATACTCACCAGTATATTCAATGAAAAATTGCATTTCTAACATGATCTACTCCTACTTGGCAGTCCAACTAGCTCTCCATCAGTAAAATGCTCCTTGAATGTGTTGTCTTGGTTCTAGTTACATAAGTGAAGTGGGAAGAAGCTCTATTTTGTCTGTACTTTTGAGAATGGTTCATATGTTTGACCAAGTCAAACCTAAGCTACGATCTATGTCAATCTAATGCTCACTCGCCTCCGTACATCTTACAACCTCCACTTTTACATCCATATGGTTACCTTTTCCTCGACTGTATAGCCACATTGCCAGCAATATTACTCAAGGATAAATAATATGCAAAATAGAATTTGTGTCAAGGGAGAAAATTCTGTATATGTTTGTAGAAAAAAACTCAAAAATGGAATGGGACCGGTTGGAGAAGATGAGAGCGTTGCATGCTGTGTGTTCTCGCACAGAACTTTTGAACCAATGCAATGATTTTAATAAGAAATAATTCTAATAAAGTTTATCTACAGAACAACGAGCACCATAGCAATTCTACATGGTAGAGTCCCAAGAGGTATGCCTGTACTGCAGTATTCTAATGGTACATGGAAGGGTAAAACCCATATCCCTTACTCTCATTAAGTTCTTCAGTGTCAATCTTGGACCCCTTATAACAATGTTTGAATGTACTGTATCTGCTCAGGCCAGACCTAAATCAGTTCATCAGCTAACAAAGTTGCTGTTACACATCTACTGTAGTACTATATGAAAATGTGTCTAATGCTTTTGAGATTGGGGCCCTGAGCTGAATCAAGCCAACTGAGAGACCAATTTGGTGAAACCATCTACAAGAATATCCAAACCCGTATATTGCAGGTCTACGTACAGTTGTGGATAAATAGAATTCACCAGGGAGGGGAGGTGGTGTATGGAAGGGTACAGGTGTATGTGGAAGCTTGGCACTGTAGCATTAGGGCACTGGTGAAGTCTCTTCAAATATTAAACTTTTTGAACAATTTTGTTTGTTTTGGCATATTACTGTACTTTAAAGCATATGAGATGCACTTTTTTGGCTGAAAAATGGCAAAAAAAAGTCAGCCTGTTTCCTATATGTCAAGTTGAGGTCTCCCGTATGCTAATGAATCCCCAAGTTGCTGTGTCCAGTAGGCTAAATTCTACCAAACCCAACTCCAGAATTAAAAATCTGTTATTGCTTACTTAAACACATTATTATTACAGTATTTTTAATTAATTAAAAAATAATTATTATAAATATAAAAGCTAGATTTATAGCTACTGTACTGCTGATGATAACCTGAGACGATTAACGTCCGTACGGCAGACACCCAACTCCTCAGAGTTAGCTAAGCAGTAACCATTTCTGAACTCTTACAAGCATTACAATCTATTAATGCCATGCCTGCAACATTTATTTTTAAATCTACAAATACCTGATAACTTTCTTTTCACATTTGTGTGTTAACATCACTGGCAGCATTGTGGCCAGGTTAGACTCGCCACTGTAACCACCAAGCTACTGGCATTATGGTTGTTTTTCATCTACATTTTTGGATAGATATACGTAACTTTCTTCATTTATTTTTACTCGGTTACATGCACACACCATCCTACATATGTAGTGAAAAAGGTAAAAGAAATAATTGTCCTAAGGGCAGACATATAAAGGGAATAAATATTTCTTAGCACACGAGTTAGCTGGCTGGCTTACTGGGGGAGCGGAAGGAGGCAGGACTTGTGGGGGGAGGAGCATTGTAAGGGAAAAGGTTATGGTGAACCAGGGAGTATATGGACATGGCGACTGCATTAAACTTTCACTTGGCTTTTATTTACTGGTTTAGCAATACAGTATACAGTATATTTTGTTATAACTTATCTATTGGTTTATTTTTATTTATTCCTCACATTTACTGGTACTGTATATATTAAGAAAACTATGGCTACAGGAGGAAAATCCACACACTTTTTTTTCTAAATACTCCCTGCTAAAATGGGGGGGGGGTGGGAGTTGCATCTTATATGCCATAAAATACATTAAGTTACTTACAGCACCTACTTAAACTAAAAAAACTCAATCTATGGTGTGCAAAGAAAATCGGTGACTTTTAACTGCCACCTATATGCAACGATGTCTAGTTTCCACCTACCCCTATTGCCTACACCACCCACCCACCTCCCTGGAAACTTATTACTGTCCATAACTGTACTAATAGAAAAGCTAACTCATCTTCTTTAATTACAGACATGGAGATACGAGATCAAGAACAGGAGATCATGACTCACTCTAGTCACTAGCTGAAGTTCAAGAGAAAGTCCTTAACACTTAACAGTTAGGTTAAACATAATGGGGACATCACTTTTCAGCATGTTGAAGAACAAACAAACTTGATCCCATTTACCTTGCAGCATAATTCTTTCTCAAAGACTAGACTGAATCATGTTCTTGATAGCTGCCCTATATTACAAGAGCCACCTTGCTAAAGGGCAATAGTGTGTGTGTGTGTGTGTGTGTGGGGGAGCCCCCCCCCTGATTTTTTTTTTAAATCTGACTAATATCATGACATTTTAAGGCCATTTTGAAGCCATGTGCACTTGACATTAGGAGATATTCTGAAGTCAATAGTAATTACTTTTTACTGTACAAAATTGCTTGTGTACAACACTGCATTAAAGAAAATTATATATATATATATATATATATATATATATATATATATATATATATATATATATATATATATATATATATATATATATATATATATATATATATATATATATATATATATATATATATACTAACTGCAGTATCAAATACAGTATATAAATTCTATTTAAAATTTTGCATTTGATGGAATGGCACAGTACACATGGTGCCTCTTTCTAAAATTTTAAACATTTAAAATAAACATTTTACAAAATCCTTCAAATAAACATTTTACAATATCTTTCAAATAAATTGGCGGGAATCTGTTGATACTGTACATGTTAAAAGAAATGTGGATGCCTTCTTGATCACACCCAAACTGAGTGAAGTGAAAAGCTGAAAATTAAAAGTTGTTTCAGTGTAAGAGAGCAGACAGATTACTTGACACGGCATACACTAAAAGCCAATTGCAGACATACTGTACAAAACAACAACAATGGACAGTTAGTTACTCTAGTCAGTCCAGTATTAGTTAAGTTGACCTACTTCTTATCATGATTATACAGTTTGTGCCCACTTTGTCTAGTCTGAAAATATCACATAATCCCAAAATGTCTACTTGTCAGTTACTGATAACTTAACCTAACCTAATGGGAAGTAGACGGACTGGGATGCTATCAATCATACAATGCATTGCAGCTTTAGTATTAACCCCACCTTAACAACCCTAAAACTGTCCACATGTTATCAACCTAATTTAGATTTGCTTGTCCCCCCCCTTTTTTTTAAATAGAACCCTAGTAGTCAGGTGTCCACTTGAATGAATATGGATAGAAAAAATACTGTAAACTGATACTTAAAAAAATTTATTTAAAATATGTAAGAACATGTTTAAAAATAAAGGCTTATATACATAGAATTATATATGAGTATGTACTCGCCAAAACTGACTTAGGACTCCCAAACACACAACCTCACTGACATTACA